GATCCGAGGCCTCCTTTCACTTTCGAGATTAGTAAGTACCAGGAGTAGAACCCCTTTCCTGTCATGTCCTGAGGAACCTCCACCATGGCCCCTAGACACAGGAGGTTCTTGACCTCCTGAACGAGGAATTGCTCGTGAGAAGGTCCCTGAAGAGGGACGGGGAAATGGGGGGGCGGGGGCGGCGGCGCCAAAAATTTCAGGGTATAGCCTCATGATATTATATCCAGAACCCAGCGATCTGACATAACCCGCAACCAGGCTGAGCGGTAGGGGAACAGGCGGTTGAGGAAAGGTAGCAGTGGATCTGGAGAATTGACTGGGGCGTCACTCTCGACCATGCTATCAAAATGAGTGTTTCTGCCCCGCAGAATGCTTGGTCTGGCCGGTTTACACAGGCAAGCGGGAGGTAGAAGGGTGGCAACGACTAAAAGTAGTGTCCCTGTCCTTTCTTTTTGCAGGTCCAGGGTGAGACTGCCATGACCTCAACGGAGGGGGCGGCCGGAATGGTTTATGCACCGACTGCAGTGTGTGGATACCCAGCAAACAGAGGGTAGCCGGGTGTCCTTCATCCCGTGCAGCCTCACATCTCAGAAGATGCTCAGAAAACAGACCACTTCCGTCAAAGGAAGGTCTTGTATAGAGGTCTGCATCTCCTGGGAGAGACCTGCGATCTGAAGCCAGGAGCTGCGCCTCAACCACTGAGGACGCCACCACCCTGGCTGCCGAGTCCGCCGTGTCCCAGGCCATCTGAAGGGCACAGGAGGCTGCCGAAGTGCCCTCCTGCACCAATGCAACAAACTCCTTGGCCTGGTCCTGTGGGGAGTCAGTCCTTGAATTTATGGATAGAGTCCCATAAATTGAAGAAACAGCAGCTCAGGAGGGCTTGGTGGTTTGCCACACAAAACTGTAGACTTGCAGTGGAATAAATTTTCCTTCCAAACAAGTCGAGTCTTTTGGCCTTCTTATTTCGTGGGGTGGCGCTGGTGTGTCCCTGCTTCTCCTTTTCATTGGCAGCAGAGATCACCAGCAAGCCTGGAAAAGGGTGGATAAGTTTTTGGCCGGCACAAAGTATTTTTTCTCAGCCCGCTTTGAGGCGGGAGGGATGTAGGAGGGCATCTGCCAGATACCCTTGGCAATTTTCAGGACCCCTTCGTGAATGGGTAGTGCAATACGTGTAGGCTGACAGGATGTTGAAGAACGTGTCCTCTTGCTTGGCCATCTCCACCTGCAGGCCCAGGTTGTCCGCCCCCTGTCAGAACAAGGCCTGGGGGTCCTTAAAGTCGTCAGGTGGGCTGGCACTGGAGGGCCCCATGACGATCTCGATAGGTGATGAGAAGGACTGACCCAATGGAGGGGGGGCTTGGTCGCTGTCCTCTGCTGGGGAGGATGGCTTAGGCATAGGTGTAGCCTCCGTCACTGGGTGTGCCTCCGGCGCTGGGGCCGGTACTGACGGTGCCAGCGGTCGCTGCTCCGTGGCTGCTGCAGGCGATTGAGCCGATGGGGGCAATACCGTGGCTGCTGCAGGCGATTGAGCCGATGGGGGCAATACCGTGACCAGAACCTCCCAGGTGTTCTAATGGCCACTGAACAGGCCGCTGTCCTGATTGCCACTGCCCCAGTGCTGCCACTGGCTCGGATGCCCAATCTAGCCGCTGAGGTCGAGGTGATGGGCTCAAATGTCCCTCTGTTCCGGAGGAGCCCCCTCCCGGGGACCACGGAGGGGCTGTCAAGGCCTGAGTTTGCTTTGAGACCACCGACATCGGAGACTGGTACCCCTCCTGAGGTGACCGGTATTGCTGGTGCAGGGGCAGGAGGGAGATCATTCCCACGGCATCAGTAATTGGGACTGATGTCCATAACGGGGGACTGGCGCCTTTCTCTTGATGAATCATGTCAAGAAGGCGGCAACCGCAAAGGTGGAGACGGAGACCGACGGTAGGTTCACGATGATTTAAGGGGACAAATCAAGACACAAATGATTTGTACATGTTTTGAACAGTTTTGTCCAGGGAAGCAATATATTCAAAATCATCATTTATAAAGATGGGAGTTACCAGCATAAATTGATAAATTACAATAAAGTAAGGTGGGATGTTGGATTACTGGCACTTTCACCAATCCATGAGAACTGAAACAGCAAGATTTATAATGCGCTATTTTCCTTTCTCCGTGTTTGCAGCATTTGTGAGCTCATGCTTATTGTGCTAAAGTGTCAAATATGGTTATTGTGCAGGATAGGACAGAGGAGCTAAGAGTAAAATTAACTGTCATTTTCTAAATGACTGTTTTACATTTTATGCCACCATATCAACTCATGGTTCAAAATATAATCCTGAAAAGACTATTACAACACAAAATGAAGATGGATATCTTAAGCACTTCACAAAATGAACAAAAGGTGAATAAAGTGGATTTAAATACACCACAGATTAAATTGCTGTATATCTCATTTTAAATGGAGAGTCTGAAGTCAAAAGATAAAACTGCTTTCTGTGATAAATTCAAGGTTTCCCAGTATCTCTGCTTCTAGACTCCAGGATATTCCACAGTAAGTCAAAAGGAATTAGTCACTCTTGTGTGTAAGGCCATCACAAGACCTATTCATCACAATGTCATGTTATGCCCTCAAAATAAGCAGTGCATAAAGCCTTGTGCTGCCTCTTAGGGGTTAATTCCACCCAAAGTTAACTCCATTTTTAAACAACATCAGGTTAGGTGAAGTCACGTCAGTTTCTTGCATTATTCAGTGTCAGTCACCACTACAGTACCTACGAATATGTTAGGTACTTCAGTTTCCAACTAACTGAATCTGAATATTAATTTCATTTGAGAAGACTAAGGTTTTCCCCATCTTTTGGAAATTGTTTGACCAGTAAAGCCTTTTATATTTTCAACCCAATAAACTGCCTGCAAAACAATGTTCTTTGTAGTGTTGTTGTAGCCATGTTGGTCCCAGGGTATTAGAAAGACAAGATGGGTGAGGTAGTATCTTTTACTGGATCAACTTCTGCTGGTGAAAGATGCAAGCTTTCAAGCTACACAGAATTGCTTTATAGGTCTCAGGCTGAAGAGCTCTGTGTAGTTCAAAAGCTTGTCTTTCACCAA